ACAAAGCCCTGATAAGATAAATCAGCGTAACGAGAACTCTAGTTTAAGTGAAAATAAAATTACTCAAAATGTGCTCAATGATAGTAATAATGAGGCATCCACACCATGGCCATACCCTCCCACACGTATTAAGGCCTGACGACTCAACATAAAAATTTAATTAATTAATTTTAAATGTATAATATAATATTTTAAGTTAGGGTTATAAGAAATTTCGTTTGCTTCAGTGATTTTTTTATATAAGGGGGATGGATGATATTGTATCTTTATTAATAAGGGGAGATGTATTATTGTATTCGTAGGTAGTTATGCAAAGAAATTAATCAGTTGTTGTCTCGCTAACGAACGTGTATTATTGCAAACACATCAGTAAGTAATATAATTATGTACGAAATTTCTGGTTACACCCTTGTCGTTTGCGAGTGCATCATCGCGCCGCACGCCACGGGCCTCGGGACATTCCCCATTATCCGGAATCTCCTCGCGTTACACTACTACGTACCGGTCGTGGGAACCATTGTCGGCATTGTAAGTGTGGGTAGAAAATTTTGTTTCCTCTGTTCTCCTGTTAGGTGTCAAATCCAGTAGGTGTCAATAGGAGTCTTAGGTGTGAGAATCTTACACGTTATCGGTTTTCTAACGAAATTACCTTATTACAATTATAAATATATCTATTTCATTACTATTTGAAAAAATAAAGCTTCAAACCATATAAATTACTAACTTACACGTTTTTACAATAATCGAAGTAAAAATTATAGACGAACAAATTTGCAGACACACCTCGTTATTAAATAAAGTATACAAATAATAATAATAATGTCCTCCAGACCGAATTTTGGCGACGGCGGCCTGCCTCATCGGAGGCTAGCCATCGACGCAGGACAGGATTATAGTGCCCAAGTGTATGCGCAGGCATAGGTGCACTCTCTATTCCATCACTCTCATAATCCGATGAGATGGTAAACCAACACGACCGGAGGGAGATCAGGCGCAAGGCCAACGGCTTTAAGTGCTTTCCGAGGCACGGGTGTGAGACACCGCCGACTTCCTGACTCCGGGAAACTAATGAAAATTCCTTGACAGATAAACTCAATAATTAGTTTTTTTTTGGCCCGACCCGGGATTCGAACCCAGAACCTCATGATCAGCAGTCGTACTACTACAACCACTAGACCAACGAGGCAGTCATACAAACATATACAATACAAACATTCATTATTCATGTTACTACAGCCCAACACAAGTCCACTACTGGACATAGCAGTCCATCTTAGATTGTCACAAAGTGCTGACTTGAGCCACTTGGACTACCTAGCACATCATCTGGCGGGTGGCCGATCTACACTGCGGTTGTCAATACGAATCTTCCTTTTCTCGAGTGGTCAAATAGCACAGTACTGAGACGCAAAGAAATGCAGGAAGTCGATAGATATATAAACGATAATAGATGCACATCGACTGATGCATTTTATACCAGGTCATTACTCCATCTACTGGATGCCGCGGTAAGAGACCGCCACTCGAAAACCTTTCTTCCCCATCAATTGTCGGTTATTTGAGCTAGATGACAGGCACACTAAAAACAGCATAAAACAAATTCAGAAAGGACAGTTTTCTTACATTCTACATAAGGCGTACACAGAAAGTGGCTTTTGAAGAATTTATCTATACCCGATGCCAGTATTCCTATAGCCGAGACATTATTAAATTTAAATGAAAATAATATATATGACACGGACCATAATGATATCCATTCATTAACGATAATAATTATTCATTCAAAAAGATACAAAAATAGTTAGTAATAATGTTATGAAGTTCGAAATTCGAGGTCAATTTCCAAGGCCATCTACAGCAGACAGGTTTAAAGTGCACAAGGATGTGCCAAAGTACAGGTGCAAGTGTGATAGAACAGAGACATTGAAAAAGATTCAGTTAAATACAGAGGGGAAAGGGGGATTTTCAGGAAAATGTAAAGCTTTTAATATCCGTGTAGTGGTGGTGTAAAAATATTCACTACTCCATATCATCATCATATCATCATCCCGTGGTTGTCGACAGTGGTAAAAGGCGACAAAGACAGCAAATCACGAAATAGACAGCAGCGTCCTCTTAATAACGACTATAAATAAAAAACTGCGGTTGCCAACTCGCTTGCTAAGCGTGGCTACTGTGGCAAATATATGAGGCAGTTTATGAAGGAGGCCTTTGTTCAGCGGAGGACTTTAATAGGCTGTATAACGGTAACAGTATAAAACTTTTGTTTTCAGCTGCTTGTTAATGATAATAATAATAAAGCTTTTTATTTACTCAATTCACAAATGGTTAATAAATATATACAAAAAAAAATCATCACAAACTTAACTTAGAAACATACTTAAGTAATAAAACAAACGGCCCTGTGACTCATCTATGTGATGATTTGAGGTCACCGCTGGTTTTCTGTCATAGCCGACTTTTAAAAAACACAGTATCTTAATCTAATTTTGGCATAAAGAATACACCAAAATATACATTCATATGTGCTATGTAAATTTCGTAAATATATAATAATACTTAATACCTGCTCCCAAATTTTGTTGTTTGAGTTCAACAATACTTTGCACTTCTTTCTAAATAAATTTGTCCTCCCCCTTCCTTTGCAGGAGATCGTAAATACATATTACAGTATAGACAATCATACCACTTGTATATTATTTAAAATTTTGGAAGCAGCATATTTGGACTCTTCGTTGGGTCCCCTCCTCACTGTTATTTGAATTTTGGAGAAAATTTTTCATATAAATAATGAGGAGATTGCGATTTATTATTGTACGTTGACCATCTTTTATTGAATTTAAAAAAAAAAACCATGTATACGTGTATCTAAATTGCGGGTGGTGTGTGTGTGTGTGTTTTTTTGTATTCGCTTGCGTTACAGAATATATAATATTCTGTAACGCATATATATGTATATATATATATATATATATATATATATATATATATATATATATATATATATATATATATATATATATATACTGCACGCAATTTGGATACACGTATCTCTTTTTTTTAATTCAACAAAAGCTTGTCAAATAATATAAGAAGGAACTAGTTCCTGTTATACAGGTAGGTGGTTAACCTTTTACAGGAGCTAGGATCACATTGATATAAGTTTTTTGCTATAAAGAATTTTTTTCATTTTCATTTATAGAGTGTTTCGAAATACTCAAACGTTTTGCCGTTGACACAAGCGTGTGGAGAGCGGAAAGTTCCTCCACTTAGAGATCTGTGTAGTCTATCGTAGATTAAAGCGTGTTTTTAATGGAATTTTTTAATCGGATAATAACGGGAAATTTTTCGATTAATTATTGACACTGTACTGATATACATACACACGATAAGGAGTTAGTACAAGATATTGTATGTATTAAGTGTCGGAATAGATTTGTAACAGATAACTACCTCAATGGAATTTTACTAAAGACCTACATGGGGGATAGTTTTATCATAATATGCAGTTGGTAGCACGTGCCATTCATTTTTATAATAATATTTAGAAATGTACAAATTGCAATCGTATTTCTTTTATAGAATAAAGGAGAGAAATGAGCGCACAGTCCACCTAATGGTAAGTGGATGTCGTGACTCACGAACACCTTCATCTATCTTCGATTAAAAATCAAAATGCAGGTGCGGTGTCAGATACCTCTGAGAACTAGATTTAATTCCGTATTACCAGTAAAAAATTTATCCCATTATCTTCACCCACCATGCGAACACAACAGCATAAAGCTGCTATTTGAAAACGTTGATATTCTAAAAGACGGTTGTCCTACCCTGGTCGAGTTGACCCAATCGTGCTACAACCATAGCTGCAACGTGGCCATACTAAGTTGGCTTCACAAAGAACGTATTGATTTAATTATAATAATACGTTTGTTCGGGGCACTTGGGATAATCATATGACTATTAATATGAAGCCATCTGGTTTTTCAGGCATATTACATAGCCTCATATAACACCCATGGTAGGAAATGAGGTGATGAATTATTTGACTCCGCCACTATATCACCCATCTTCTCTGGCAGAGTCAAATAGTAAAACGTAAAGAACTTACTACTAATAAACTTATAGGATAATACTTATGTTGTATAGATATATTATGTATGGGCAACGGCTCTAAGCATTTGAATGAAAAGTTGTATTTGGATTACGTTTTATTTTTCAAGTTAATTTAGATGTGTGTCATACCTGAGAAAACTATTTCATCCATTCAATTAGAAATCTATTTCAAAACAAGCTTTCAGAAATGTTGTCACAACCAGCACCCGAGTCCAACGAGAGATTAACTCCATGTTACTACATTATTGCATTGTCATTGAAGTGTGCTCAATTTCACCTCAATCGAATGTAAAAAGTGCTTCAAAAATGGTTGCGAACCGGAAAAAAATAGTATCTAAATTTTTATTTCAAATCTAGAACATCGACTTAGAAATACTTACAGAGTCCTTATTAGTAGATAGTCCTCACTTCCCGCGTACTTCGGTAAGACCCGCTGCTATGTTTTGTTTACATGGTTATCGATAACGGCGATATAACTCAACAACCTTCGATAATCCTTATCGATAACCATCGTGGTCGAAGCAGCAGTTGTGCATCGTGTGGCGATCCACTAGCTCCTATGCTAGCTCGCGTGGACTCCCCCAGAGAAGCCAACCCTTATCAAATGCAATCTAGGTGCATATACAGCGAGATTTTCGAATTTTTCATTTGACGAAGGATCTTTAAAGTGAAGCTTTTCTCAACCTTTTCGGAAGTTCGTGTGATTTTCGCCAAGTCGCCGGTCGTTTCCGATTCGTTCAATATAAATGGCGAAAATTTTAATAAGAACTACAAGTGTGAAAGGAAAGTTTCGAGCGGCAGTCATTGCGAGGGTGACGTGCTTCCTTGGGATTCCCCTTTTTTATTTTTTACTCGTTGGGTATTCTGCAGAAGATGCCAGTGATCAAATGATAAATGAAATTTCAGGTACTGAAATAATTAATTCAAAAGTTTATGTTATTGTACCTTATATTTATAATTAACTATTTTTCGTGGGTTTTGTTACATTATAGCATTGTTAGAAAATTTTTCAATTACTTTAACGACATTAAAACTCCTGTTAGCCACTAAAGTGAAACTAGTTTTTACGATTTTTATCACACATATTAACTTCTTTTCATGTTGTAAATGTTGTAAGTACTCGAAACGTCCGGGAAAATAAAATAAAAATACTGTAAAACTAGTATAATTTTTAAAAAATAAGGGTAATAAATGAGCACACAGTCTACTTCATGATAAATAGATGTTGTAGCCTATGAACTATGACATTATTCCTCAATTAAGAATCAAAACACAGATGCATTGTCACAACCTGACCTGAAATACACCTGAATACAACAATGGAATGCCTCGGTTCCAGTAAAAAGGATCTCCGGTACTTTACTCCCACCATACGAAACACAGCAGCATTAAGCTACAACCATAATAATATAGCTGCAGTCGGGCTCTACCATGTAAGTATATATTTCATTTAAATGTTTAGTGTTTGTGTAAACAATAAAAAATCATCCTGTGAACAACCTCATCTCTATGATTCTACTGTCGTGGAAAGTTTTCTGCTATATCTCCGTCGCATTGCCAACATCATTTATCTTATATTACAAGTACCGTTACAGCGAATTACGCCTACCCTGTACAAAGGCATCCCCAATAGATTACCACACAGACAGGATATTTGCCATTGCTTGCTTAGTGGGCGGATTGGCATTGGCAACAGTAGTTTTTTTTATTGTTATAAGGAAGACACTGCTGCCCATATCCTGGTTTGTTTCGCTATGTCGATCTTACGACACTAATGGGATAATATGGGATAGTGGATATTCTTGAACATTTGTATTATTAACATGTGGCGTCACCATAAGAAAACTGGCCGGCTGACGTTCGTAAGAGGCGACTATGGGATATGCTAACAGGTCTATGGCTTCTGAGGCAGTATGGTTTTACTGTGCAAGCATTGAATTACCCAAACTAGGTAGAAAAAGCGTCAAAGATGCTCACGTCTCGTATTGAAATTATGTGAGTGCCGTGTAGTGGCGGTTAAGAATATTAACTACCCCATAACTTTCCGTGGGTGTCGTACAAGACGACAGAAAAAACTGCGATTGCAAACCCCCTTGCCAAGCATGGCAACTATGACAATATACCCCCATGAACAACGACACAGATAAACGGCCCCCAGTCCCCTGCTGCCGCATTATTCCTGGCTACGGTGGCGACCATGGTAACGGCGGGGCAGGGGGTGCTAAGAATCTCCGGTGGAGGTTCGGTTGCCAACTAAGACGACTCAATCTGACAACATATACGCACGTGCCCTGAGGACTGACGACAAGATTCTGGAGCTGGAAAAAAGATAGAAAAGCTACGCTGGAATATTAATACTAATAATAATGTCCTTCAGACCGAAACGGCCTGCCTCAACGGAGGCTAGCCATCGGCGCAGGGCTGGATTATAGTGCCCAAGTGTATGCGTAAACCGGAAGTGAGTAAACCGACACGACCGGAGAACGATCAGGCGCAGGACCAAAGGCTTTACGTGCTTTCCGAGGCACGGGGGTGAGATACCGCCAACTTCCTGACTCCTGGCAGCTACTGAGAATTTCTCGACAGAAAAACTCAATAATTGATTTTTTTGGATCGACCCGGGATTCGAACCCAGGACCTCATGATTAGCAATCGCACTACTACAACCACTAGACCAACAAGGCAGTCAGTTGGCTGGAATATTATAGGATTACCCGAGGTAGAGAGGGGGAATACACAGTGATTCTCGAATCCGGCAACTTGTATCATCGGGAGGGCGAACATCTGTCCCATGGAGATGTCGGATTTATTTTCCACAACAAAACAAAGATCATATCTACGTCACACCTATGTCGGTAGTTGATGGGAGCACTAAGCTTGAAGTTGTTGACGAATAGGTTTAGCAGGGGCAATTAGTTCGACAAGGTAAGTCCAACTTCGACCGAGAGGTCAATCGACGGATTCAACTCGTCTGGTCAGCGTTCGGGAAATAACAACACATCTTCTTTATCACCTATCAGCCAGTGATTACATATGGATCTGAGATGTGATCCTTCACTGCTGGCCATATGAGGATGCTCGAGGTCGCTCAGCAAGAGTTGACCAACTATGCTAACTATGTAATTATATACCACTGTCATATAATGAACAAATGAACTTAGAGTTCACCTGATGGTGACAAATGAACTTAGAGTTCACCTGATGGTGACAAATGAACTTAGAGTTCACCTGATGGTGACAAATGAACTTAGAGTTCACCTTAGTCCTCTGAGCTCATAGGTGACAACGCCTCTGATGCCTTTTTTGTTTGAAGTTGAACTTAGAGTTCAACTTTAAATAAGGAGAGACTCTGAGGAAGGATTCTGAGGACTAAGGTGGAATGCTTAGCAGCCTGGGTAGGTACCTACACAGCACTAAGGGAGTCCTAACGCCTAATAGTTAGTACATAGAAGTTTTTCAATCATCGTATTTATGTAAATATATTGTAAACACAATTACTGATTAAACTATTTCTTCAGCCCCTGGTGAGAGCTTCCCTTCTCGTCGTCTCCTTGGCGTAGTGGAGAGTAGTACCAGGAACTGCACACCACCAGCAATTCTAGAATTTCCTTCAGATGGACTGACCCGCGCACAAAGAAAAAGTGTATGTATATATATATATATATATATACATATACCTCATAATTACTTTTGTTCTTTTATTTAAGTGATTTTTAATGAACTATTTTCTTGAACATTTATATTATTACCATGTAGCAACGCCATAAGAAAACTGGCTAACTTTCGCAAGAGACGACTATGTGATATGCTAACAGATCTATGGCTTCTATGGCAGTATAATTAATATTATAATAAAGAAAGTTAGTTCATTAATAAATTAATGAACTGACTTCCTTTTCCAATGTCCATTATGAAGTTTAAAGTGAAAAGTTATTATTGGATTATGTCATCATCATCATTACAGCCCTTCACAAGTCCACTACTGAACATATGCCTCCCCCAAGGAATGCCACAAAGCACGGTCCTGAGCCCCCTGTATCCATCGACTTCCTGCATGTATTACCAGGTCGTCATTCCATCTAGTGAGGGGTCGCCCTACACTTCGCCTACCGGTACGAGACTGCCACTCGAGAATCTTTTTTCCCCAAAGGTTGTCGATTCTTCGAGCTATATGCCAATGCGGCTCATTGCCACTTCAGCTTACTGATCTGTTTGTTATTGGGTTATGTAACGAAAGTTAAGTGTTGAAAATATTATCTTTCGATTCCGATTCCGTTTCAGTCGTTATCAACAGTACCCTACTGAACATGGTTCTCCCCCATAGATTGCCTCATAGGGGAAAATTTGCCATAGTTACCACGCTTGACAGTTTTTTTAATATTCTAGTTGTGGGTATTCAGCAAAGATGCTGCTGCCCATCTCCTTGTTTATTTCCCTCTGCCGTCTCTTACGACACCACGCCACTATAAAGGTAGTGGGTATTCTTACGGCCAGTACTGTCACATAACTAAAAAGAATATAATCACCGACTTTAGAAGCTGCTAAAAATATGCAGGAATTATTCTATTAAGACGTTCAATTTGTCGATCATTTTGAGTGGATTAAGTAATATCACTGATGACAGACACGAAAATCCTCCCTATAAGGTTGTGGCGGCGCTGTCGTCGCGCCGCAAGTGAAAGCGAAGCGGAAAGAAAAACGGAAGAATCGAACAACAGAATTGTGCTATCAAAGTTCCGAAATAAAACAGTATATATAGAATAGTTTCGAACTACCACTTGGAGCGTTGGCCGCTCCATGGGCAGAACACTTTGCCGGGAAGGATATCTCCCCTTTTCCGTCCACGGCCACAAGGCGATCTATGAGAGAGGTCTATGTTCAGCAGTTGACTTTAATAGACTGTAACGACTTGATGAAAGCAATACCACCTCAAAGTAACAGCTAGAATTTTGCCCCGTTTTAAGAAAATTGAGTTTTCATCAAATCTGAATTGAGCTTTTTGTTGTTTGTGTGTGTGTGTGTTGCGTGTGTTTGTGTTTCCAAAATGTTTTATCAAACTTAGATTTCCTATGAATTTTAACTAATTTGAACCGGTAGATTTTGAGAAATCTCAAAAATAAAAATTTTGTAAAACGTTTTTTTTTTTATAACTTTAAAACGGCTTCACCGATCGATTCCAAAATCTAATCAGCTTTTAACCTTAAAAAAACCACATTGATCGCCGCCGATCCGGTCAAAATAGGTTCAATTGTTCGTGAGATGATATCGTTAACGATAAACTTTGAAAAAATTGATTTTTTTTTTAAATTACTCCGATATTACATATTCAACATCATAATTTGGTGAAGTTTGGAGCACTTTGCATTTGAAATAAGCGCGAAGTTCCGGGGATGGCCTGCAGGGTCAACCGACTTTTTTAATTTAAACGTGACAACCCTTGAAGTTCAGTATATTTGATTTAAAAAAAAGAATTATTAAAATTAGTCGGGCTGTAAACGTCTCAAAGATCGACACGCTTGTTTTTATAACATGGGGTCGTATTTTAACCGACCCCAGAAGGAGGGTAAGGTTTTCGAGAATATGTATGTATGTCTATTTCTTTGACACGTCCTGCAGCCTAAACGGCTTGGAGTTTAACGTATGAGTCATTAGACTCGTGGTAACTGTTGGAATGACATGGGTTTCAAAATTATTATCTTGTTAATAAGCATTTTTATGTAGTCAGTTTTTTAATTACTGATTTAAATGATAGAGCTTTTATTTCTTTTAACTTTATAGGGGCTTATAATAATCCACTGCGTGCTGGCGGTGTACTGTTTCCTACTGTTGGGCACTGTCTGCGAACAGTACTTCGTGCTGGCTATCGAGATCATCTGTGAACGTGAGTATTCTGCCTAAATAAAATTCTACCACCTCATTGCTGAATTCCACAAAGAGATTAAGATATAAGAATCAAAATTAGAAACAATTATTTTTTGGATCGTGGTTATTACATAGATCTTTTCCGTTTTATTTTCCTTTTATATATCGTGCCAGTAGTTTACATATATAAATTTCACAAGGATAAACATCAAGACCCAAAACAGTTACTTATTAACAAATACTTGTTCCGTGCAGAATTCGAACCCGCGGCCCCCAGCCCTGCATCTCGTTACTAAGCCACTGTACTATAGAGCCGTCAAGATGTCAGCTGCATCTTTCTTCATTATTTGTGTAGTTCTTCTATGCCGACAGTGCCGTATGCAGTCAATCTATTTATTTCAAACATGGCCCAAGTCAATCTATTTATTTAAAACATTAAGGGTTTATAATATCGATATGGTCACAACAAGATGTTGTTATGTTAGCTTACGTAATAACTTAAGACAGATGGACCCTTTTAAGTAGGGACTGAATAAATTAACCGACTTAGAATTACATGGATCTCACAACTTTTTACGATAGAAGAACTGAGTTGGTTCTTTACAAGTTATGTTATTGATGGCATCTCATTTCTTTTTGCAGATAGTCCAACTTTTTTTCCTTTCGGTACCTTCTACTTCTTGATTACCAACAAAGTACCTATCTATACCTTTTATCCATTATATTATACATATACAGGTACACTGATTCATTCACTGCAAATGTAACTTTGTAATTCTATATATTTATATGGAATTACAAAGTTATTTATGCAGTTAGTTTATCTAGAAAAGTGGACCGAAATTGAAAAATATTTTAGTTTTTCCTTGATTTATACACTAAACACTAATTGTGTTCTTAGTTTGAAGCTTCTATGTCTGCTAGAAGTGCCTTAGACTTTTGATGATCGGTCAGTCAGTGAGTGACAAAATTAAGAAACTTAGACTAATTACAATTCCTAAACTACTGGTTCAAATTGAATGAAATTTGAAATATACCGTGTCTATACAATGCCTGATTAGTTACTGAAAATTCAGGTTTCTAGTTTCATCCACAACGAAGTTATAGGTGGGTCGAAAATGGCCTGAACTGCTTCGAGAAAAGTATGGTACGGCCGTGGCGCTTTTTTGCTCGACTTGGCGGGGGCACCGCCGTGCCCCCAGATACGTGTCTTTGTCACTGAACTCCCTCTTCCCTAACGGCTCCACTTATTTTGATGAACTTTTTGTGTGTGTTTGAGTGGGACCCAGTGGGTTTAAAATTCAGAATTGTACCCGAGAGGTGGCGCTGTTATCGAAATCCAGAAATCGCCCGGCAAAGCCGGGCCGGATCGCTAGTTTACTATAATATTTTAAGTGAAATTCGATTGTAATTTTCAAATTCATTCATTGCAGCACATCAAGAGTCCACTGCTGAAGGATGTCCTGAGGTATCCTGAGGATCGCTGAGGAAATCCGGCATAGTTAATTGACACGCTTGGCGGGCGGTTGGCAACCGCGGTTTTTTAATTATTGTAACACTAACTAACGAACATGGACTAACGAACATGCTGGCTGCAGGCTTTGAGGCGTTCCGTTTTATTTTTTAAATAAAGTGACAAACAAACATACAGTCCACCTGATGGTAAGTGGATACTGTCGCCCATAGATATCTACATTTATCCTCAGTTAAGAATCTAAGTCGTCAGAGGTGACCAACGCATATTCCTCTTTTTGAGTTCGCTTCAAGTTTCCAAGGTCGGCAGTAACCACTCACCACCGGATGTACTGTAACCTCTTTTGTCACTATAGTTATATAAAAAAGTCTCCTTCTTTTTTTCAGGTCTTGACATGGAGTCAGACGTGGCGGGCGCCACGTTCATGGCGGCTGCAAGCTCTAGCCCGGAGCTGTTCATCAACTGCGTGGGTACATTCGTAACGGAAGGCGACCTAGGAGTTGGTGCTATCGTGGGCTCTGCAGTGTTCAACGTGCTAGCAGTTCCTGCCTGTTGTGCCCTAGTAGCTGCCAGGGTATGTAATAAGGCCAGTGTTGTTGTGAACTATTTTTTATAGAATAATGGTGGCAAATGTGCACTCAGTGCACCTGATGGTAAGACGATGCTGTAGACCGTGGACATCTAAATATATCTTCAATTAAGAATGAAAATCCAGATGTGTTGCCACCCCTGAGGTCTCAGATGAAACGCCTCGCTTCCCGTAAAAATGGTCTCCGATCTTACAAAACACAGAAGCATTAAGCTATTATTTTACGGTAGTAGAATACTGGGAGCGTGATCCTTCCCCAGTTGAGCAGACCCATACAACCGTAATATAGCTCCAGCGTGACTCTCCCACATATATATTCAATATAGATTAATACGTAATACTCATTGAATGTCATTTTTTATTTACCACTGGTTCTGAACATACACCTGCCATGGGAAGAATCAGCAAGTAACCAAACCAAAAAGGAACTTATTTAACATAGCCGAACAATCTTTCCCGCGTCAGCCAACTTAAACGATTAATCTTTAACGTTCTTTGAATTTTTAGTTTTAAAAGTTTAATAATTATTTCCTTTTACAATCACACAGTTGTAATGTATCACAAGTAACATTTGATCAGACAGTAGAGCTGGACTGGTGGTCGGTGTCTCGCGATTGCCTCATGTACGCGGTGGCAGTGGTGGCGCTCATCCTCACGCTACTGGACAACGTCATCCACTGGCACGAGGCCTTGCTGCTGGTCCTCATGTACACTTTGTATATATTAGGTGAGTTTAGGATTTCTTATATTTATATGAGTACTGCATTTTGAATAAAACTAATTTTACGAATTTTATCGCATGTATTTTAACCTTTAACTTATTTTCAATTCCCGACGTTTTGGGCGCTTACTACACCACTCATGGTCACGGGGAGGACTGAGGTGTTTGACGTCCCGATGTCATAGTTAACCCGGGTATCTAAAATTTTTGAATATGAGGCTTTGGTACGATCTACGCTAAACGAGCTTAGAGTATCTAGAAGTCTGACAGATGCATGCTTGATGCTTCTACTTTTTATAAAAGTGAGCTGAGTTGTAATGATTTCTTAAATTTACGCGAATACTACACATTGAATAAAACTATTATTTACGGATTTTATTACTTTTGATTTTTTGATTTCATTTACTACTTATTTTTATTATCCCGTCCCTTATTTTTATAAATGTCGTTTCATAAACGTCGTAAATAATAGTTTTATTCAATGCATCTAGATGTATTTTGTCACTGTGGCATCTATTCTCGATTATGAATCAAATGTAGATGTGGTGCTTTCCCCAAGGATTAAAAAGGAATATCCCATTTCTAGTAAAAAGATGTTCGGTTCTATTTACTCACTATTCGAAACAGTAGCATTTAGCTGCTATTTCCATAATTCCACTTTTCGCCCCTCCGGGAGACAGAACGTGACGGGTGGCAAACCTCGTCGCCGGTTTTTCTCCCGAAGATTCTTCGCACACCTGCCCCATGAGGGTGGTTCCTCATGGTGCGAAATATGGGGTAGTATATTTTACGCCGCTACCACGGCGAGGAGCCGAGTCCGTAGGAGTGGTCGTTACAAAACGTAACTAGTTACTGAAACTATCTATTCACACAATAGCGGGTAACGTGTTATAGCATTGCAACGAAACTATCTATTACAGTAGATATTTAACTCAGTAACACGATACACGTTTCACGAATCACGACCGAGCGATCAGTAACAATAACAAAACGTTTATTCGGCTATTTTCGCGACGCATCGGCGACGGCTTCGGCTGTTGAAGTAGAAGCATATGAGTAAAGAAACCGACTCTTTACGCTGTGGTAGAAGTACCACCGGTCGTCGAATGTCGAGTGAGCGCGGGTGCTTTTGCATTTGACCTATGACTCTATTCCCTTCGTATAGATACGATATTAAAAATGAGAAAGTAAGTGTGCATGTTTTTAACCAAAATAGTTCAAATTCCGTAATTTAAGTGGCCTTGGCCCGTTTTAAATTAGTCTTGTGTTTAAGTTTAATGACACGGTTTGTTTTTACTTTTTAGGCGCGTTTGTATATATTAGTGTTAATAATAATAGTAATTGTACAGTAATTAGTGTAAGTAACTAAGTGTAAAAATAATACTAAACTTTATGTGATAGTATTCAAAAATATCTCGAAGTAATGCCAGTGTACTTTGGGACTTTTTTACAAAAGATACTACAACCATAAAAACATCAATACATGTATTCATTTGATTTATTACATAAAAATGTAGGCTTGAGATGTCTAAAAATAAGCATTGTAATAATTATTTGCTATAAAATCAAACTTATATTCAATATTTTATGCTGAACTTGTGTGTGAATTTATCATAATCATAATTATTAAATAAATCGTTTGCCGTTAAATCATTTCAAGTGATATTTTTACCAAACCGTGCGAAATGATTAAACGAAAAAATAAATTTAACCATTAACACCATGTCTAATTCTATACGAAACGGTAACAAACAATTTTCTCGTGAAACGGACATCGTTTCATTCGCAACGTTTTTCAATTAAACACGTCGTGAAACACTCTATTGAAGCCGCTATTAAAATAGAGTGTTTCAAAAGCCGCTATTGATATTCGATAGATAGTTTCGTTTCGTTATTCAAAAAAGCCGCTACTACGCACCGCTACGAGTCTGAGCTATCGGCTATCATATCATATATATCAATATTAATAATACAATACGACCCTCCGCTAAATCGGAGGTCTACAAAAATTATGTAAAACTTTTTTCGTGTAATTGCCATGCTTAATTATATTAACCAAAACAAGTTGTAGCATTTGTGAAGTCAATCCTATAGCGCGTTTTATAAAAACTAGTAGTGACATCTATTAAAAATCTTAAGAACTAATTGCAACATTCAATACTTGTACGTACGGCCTGAAGCTGATGAAGATTAAATAGCAGTTATTCCTTGAAGAAGATGTATTTTTATTTGTACTAGGTATACCTACGTTTTTAATAGATAAATAATAATCGATATTAGTGTCAGGTTAAAGGGCACCTTATTAATTTAACCGAGGGCTTACTAAAGTTTTAGATTTCAACTTATATATGGTATTATAATATAATTAAAAGTATTGTGTAAAATTCATTGTCATAAATATAATGCTAATTATATCCTATACTATTAAACGAGCAATTCAAATCGATCTAGCTAGGATTTATTTTTAGAAAATGTCTTTTTGTCCGTGTTTTTAGGCAATGAAAAACTGCTACAATATCGTTAGAATAAGAAGGTAAAGGGCATTGCCCACTCTTCATAGACATTTCGGCCATGGGCGCCCATGTATAAAAGCATATAGATATGATAATATACAATTAAAGGAATGAAATGGTCAAGAAATTGGTTTAAAAAAAGTCGGGAATTTTAAGATATAAAAGTTTTTATTTTCACAAATACAGTTTTTTAACAACTAATTTTACCAATGTTATCGCATTTAATTTCTTTGATTTTTAATTCCCGACTTTCGGGTGCTTTCCAGCACACATGGTCATGGGGGATTGAGGTGACTGGCGTACCGAAATCAGTGTTAACTTGGAGTAAATTCAGCTTTTTAATAACTATTTATGGTCCGATCTACGCAGAATGAACTTACTGTCCTGAAGTCTTGCGTGGTATGCTTGGGTGTAGTTTTAATTTTATTAATTACAGTGTCCCAAGCAGGTGGGAATACCCAGCTTTATTCTCTATTGAAATTAGAATGTTTGAATCTGGGTGCAATACATTACCGACTTCAGATTGCAACGAGGATGAACTAGATGATTCAGATGGTTCCCGTTCTGCAGTTGAATGTGATGCTGCTCTATCAAACCTTCGCCAACAATTATGACACACACGAGATGACGATGGCAACTGAAATAATATTAAATACAAAAGTGAAAAAGTGAACTAAATAAAAATAAAATAGATTTGTTTCCTTTAAACTCAAATACATATAAAATATTTATCAAGTTAATTGTTACTGCACAAAAGCAGATTTAATGGCCTATATTATTTAATAATTAAGCACTTAAAAACTACCAGTAGTCCAAAAACAATGAAAAATCAATTGTCTCATTACTTGGTAGTTAGTAAAAACGGTAGCACTCTACCTGGTGGTGACAAGCTAATCTTATCGCCATGTTATAAATAAGCTTGTATGTTTGTCAGATATAGTTTGTGTGGATGTAATCAGAGTAAAAACATGTATCACTATCAGATATGAGCACACACACTTAATAAATTAAAAAATGTTGAACACGTACCTCACGTGGTGCAATTTGATGGGCAATTTCATTCCTTATGAGTTCCTCACGTGGAGAATCAGACCAAAACAATGTGTGTGATCTTATTCTCAAAAGTGATTGCCACAGCTGATACATACATGTCCATGACTATTAATTGGTGAATTTTCCTGTTCGCTAGTTGGATGTCGTATTTGATTCAAATTCAAATTCAAATTCAAATTCATTTTATTCATTTGCGATATATGGGTTACAATAGGTCTTAATAATTTAACAAAATACAGCCATATTCTACCTTTCGGTATGCAAACTACTTAAATATTAGATTTTATTTATAATTAAAATTAAATGGAAAATGCCGATAATTACATTAACATAATATAATCCTATTTGTATATTTGCGCTACTAACATAATAATAATTCACAAAATACTGATAAAATACATGTAATAATTAAAATTGTAATGTCCAAGTAATAATGTCAAAACGAGTAGGCATAAATTGTCTCAAAATTAATAACATAGATAACGTTTCGTTCAATAAATTTGATAGTTAAAATTTAAAAATTGTCATATAGATAATCGTCAATATTATAGTACGCTTTTATGGTTAAAAATGTGTTTAGTTGTTTCTTAAAAATGTGAAAGCTCTTAGAATCTCTTATATATTTAGGTAAATGGTTATACAGTCGAGGACCCATACAGAATACGCTTTTTTGAAACAAAACAGTCTTACTATTGGGATGGCTCAATTTATCTTTATGACGCTGGACATTTAGTTTTTTGTAAAAACTTAAGTTTTGACGTACAAATAAGACTACCTCATATATATATAGACATGGCATTGTTAATAATTTTAAATTAATGAAGTATGGCTTACAACTCTCACTTTGGTTAATTTTACAAATGGCTCGTAAGCATCTCTTTTTGAGCTTTAAATACTGTTTCTTTGTCCGTACAATTACCCCAGAACATAATACCATATCTAAGTGTAGACATAACATAAGCATAATATGATGCCATTACGGCGGATGTGTCCACAACTTTTCCAAGCATATATAACGCATACGAAAAACGATTTAATTTCATACACACACTGCTCACATGAGACTGCCAGTTCAAATTGCAATCTACATTTATACCCAAAAATTTTATATTATCTATGGTATTGATTTTTTTGTCCTAGATAATTGATATTTAAATTATTTATTTTATTACGTTTTTGATAGAATGTCATAAGTTTTGTTTTTTCTAAATTTATATTTAAATTATTTATGTTTAGCCAATTCATGATTTTCTCTAAAGCAAAGTGTATGTTACTTTCTAAATCTATTTTGTTTCTGCTAGTGAAAATAACTGTGCTATCGTCAGCAAATAATACTATTTTGTGATTAATGACGTTGGGAAGGTCGTTGATATAAATAAGAAACAACAATGGTCCTAAAACACTTCCTTGCGGTACTCCAGTTTGTACGACTCTGTATTC